GACAAAGCTAGAAGACTTATTTATTTGTTTTGCTTTTTACATTTGAGCAGATTTTCTCACAGAGAGATGCTGTGCTCAGTCTGCTGCAGACAGAAGTAATGGATGTTTCTTTGGGTAAAAGCAGTGTCGAAAGGCTCATGGACACTGTGGAGGAGTTGTCAGAGGAGGCATTTGAGAGGATTGTCAGTAGAGCGGCAGACATTACAGAAGGTAATGAGGTCTCCAGACAGGTTTATAAACAACTGCATGACTGCAGCCAAACTGGTCAACGGTATCAAAACCTTTAATGTTTGAAATTCATGGAACTTCAGGATTATGACCTATTCACACCATCCAAAGCAGACTTTACCCTGGCAGCATTTCAAAGGCTCAACAACAACCGTGGCCACTTCTTTCACCTGGCAAAGCTGAAGTCATAGATACAGGTGTTTTATTTTGATGATGAGATCCAAGCTGGCAACACTAAGCTCTGTGACCCACTGCATTCAATGCCAGCACTGTCACATCTCTGGGGAAACAATATTTTGCCTCTTTCCTCCACAGCTGCACCCCTGCCTCTCTGCTCCTGACAACATAAGCACCATCCAGGCCTCTCCCTGGTCCTGAGACTAGCAGCACCACACCTGTTTGCGTCCTCTCTCTGCTCCGGGTGACGGAAGATAACTGTATTATTGGCTGAATTATTTTTTTCTTTGCATTTTCAATCACTAATTACCTGCAAAGGTAAATTTTTGTTGTTGTTAACTTGTGATGGCTTCTAATGGCTAGATCCAAAGAAGAAAGCCACATTTACAGAAAGACACTGTGTTTTTTTACATGTACAGTGATTATGACCCAGCTGCAGGCAAAATGGTCTTTTTTATTCATTAATTTCAGGTGAATGTATTTCGTTCTGTTTTTCCCGATAAGTTAGAGCAGGGGTGTCAAACTCCAGTCCTGGGGGGCCAGAGCCCTGCACAGTTTTTGGTTTACCATCATTTAACACACTTGATTCAACTCCTTGTGCTAATTACAGCACAGCTCTTGAGCTGAATCATTTGTGGGGGAACAGGGAAAGAACTAAGCTACACAGGGCTCCGGCCCCTCAGGACTGGAGTTTGACACCCCTGAATTAGAGAATATGCAGCACTGGTTTGAGTAACACATTCTGTTACGTCTGACACCATTGATGAGTATTTTATTATTTAACCTTGATGGGAAATCTTTGTGGAATAAATTAACTGTGTTTAAAAAAAAAACGTGCAACCTATTATTTAAACATTAATTTTTTTACCTCAAGATATTATAGAAAATAAAGCAACCAATATAGTAACATGATTCAAAGCATCGATTGTCTTCTTACCTCAGTTTTTTAACCCACCAGCTGCCACTGACAATAGGTAAAGCTGTTTTGCAGAAAAATGTGTTATTTGAATAAAATACAAGTCTTTGTTTTTGTATAAAATATTTTTCCAACATCATCACCTGCAAAAACCTGCTTACTCATCAGTGGAGTTGGCACGGAATAGTTTAAGATTTAAGAACAAATTACAATGAGATTTGTGGGGTTTTTTTGTACTTGCAGATAAGATCAGTGGGATTTGTCCTCTGGGCTGACCTGCAGAGTTCAGCTGGTCCTGGACAAGCACATGGTGGAGAAACATGGCTTCAGCCTGGCAGTGAAGACCTTGGGCACCAGCCTCCTGCCTGTGGTCTGGAGAACGCTGGATGACCTTCCACCACTGCCCAGAGTGTCAACAGCGCTTTCAGTGCCTGGACAATTGGAGCTGTGTGCTAACGGGGAGGCTGCTGGGGGCCAAGGAAGGGGGAGAAAACCCGAGGGTGGGGGCACAGTGTACCACTGTGTGAAGTGTGGGAGATTGTTCCAGCGAAAAGGGGCGCTGAAGACGCACCAGCACAACGACGAAGACTTTGACGCAGCCAAACCAGCCATTTAACAGGATTCAGTCTTTGAAGGCTCCCCACCTCTGAGATGGCAGTGAGAATAGCATGGACTGCAAAGACTGATGGGAAGGGGCACACTCAGTGGTATTATTCCTGCAGAGGCTACAAACTGGGTTTTAATCGGCTGTGCACTCTGTGTGACCACCAGAGGTCGCACCACAGCGGCCTGCTGCACAGTGACACCCTGATTAACAGCATCAACTGTGGAAAGAGCTTCCGGCACGCCAGGGAACCTGCAGCAACAAGACCTTCAGCCTGGAGGGCCCTCTGATGCTATACCAGTGAAGCCACGTCAGCTAGACTCCTTATCACTGCACGTACTGCAACAAGAGGTTCGGCCAGTCCCAGAACCTGAAGAGGCCCTGGGGGCGGGACACCGGGAAGATGCCACACTTCCAGTGCAGGAAGACCTCCAGCCAGCTGGGTGACCCGAGAGTAGAGCTTCCAGAAGAAAGGAAACCTCGGCTTGCTGCTGGAGACCCCGTTTCCGAGACTGTGGCCAGAACTTTGGCTAGCTGGCAGCGCTGAGCATGAGGCAGCTCTCCCAGATGGGGGAGAGACCTTACCGCTGCTAGCCATGCCGCTGGAGATTTGCCAGCTCTTACAAGCTCTACACTCATAGCTGTCGCGCCTCTTGAGTTTCTGTGTTTATTGGCTCTGCCTGTGAGCAGAGTAAGCATCAGCCATAAATATGCAAGGGGTGGCTTCTCCTGCTCGGTACGTTGACCTGTTATTTGTAACCCTGATAGCGTAAGTAGGTAATAATGTACATCCAGACACCAGAATCTGGGAGGACACCTTTGGATAAGCTATTGATATTGATTATCAAGGATATTGCTCAATGATTTTTGTAGTAAGTCAGTATTCATGCATAACTGTATCACAAGCTGCTCAGCTACCATTCTGTTCATTTAAAAGAATCTCAGCTCATAGCAGAGTGCTTACCCAAGCAAATCCAAAGAAATCTTTAAATGTTTATATTATTCGAACTTGGTGTTGACTCTGTGCCTGAATCTGCACTATTCTTTTAGTAGAAAATGTTCTACTATTTCAATTCAAATGCAACTGTAATTGAAACTTTAAGACATGGATAGTGTAATAATGGAACAGAAAACAGCACTACTGTGTCATTCCAGGGATTGTTTAATTGTCATAAAGCCAGTCCAGACTATAGCACTGCTGTAACTGAAGAAAATTTACAGTAACTGAAGGAACTAAAGTTACATTCTTGGCGTCTAGGAGTCTTATTTGTGACCCTAGGCCAGGGAGAAGGAAAACGATATTTGTAGTGTGATACAGGGTGAAGGACCTGTAAGGACCCAGGTGTCTGAAGACTTACGCTTGTATAAAAGTCTGTTATCTTACCGTTTTTAATATGTGTATATATATATATATATATATATATATATATATATATAAGCACTCAGCTCAGTTACTGGACAAGGTGATTCCAAGACATACTAAATCCACGCCTTAGAACAATGTTTATAGGTAATCAATTGCAGGTATCTAACACGTCACACAAATAATAATAAAAAGCACTTAAAAAGAAATTCTTAGTCAACAATAAACAAAAATAAAACCTACTATAAAATATATTTGTACAAATGATAAACATACACTGGCAGTTGATATATACATTTTATTTAGCTGATGCTTTTGTTCAAAACAACATAGAAGTGTGGATCAGAGAGAAGGGTCACCATGTCTCCCTGGAGAGACTGGAGTTAAGGACCTTGTTCAAGAGCCAAGCGGTGACGTCACTCTGCCAGTCACGGGAGTTGAACTGGCGACCTTCCAATCTCAGGCTCTGAGCCATACACTACCCCTCACTTGTATCACTTTATTGTGTAATTAACTCAAGCATTCCATTCTCTTTGATGTAAACTTTGAAACATTCTGAATGTGCCTATTGTATGATAGTTTGCGTTTCCTCTACAGTCAGTGAAATGATTACATCAAACACTAGATTAGTTTTCAACTATATTTTTCACATACGTATACATTTCAGTAATAGCCAAAGATAGCATTATATGTTATTTTGAACAAATATATATCGATGTGGAGCAAATGGGAAAGCTTGGATGTGACCTTTCTGTAGGCAGTAAAAGAACACCGAATAGATTTCGCTAGACCATCACTGACAAGAAGTCGCAGGTTTCAGGAGCATAATAAACATCCAGATATCCACCAACCCACTCAATTGTTGCATCATAAAGGAAGCATTTTAGTCAGTCTTGTTTATTTTCAGCATTCATAGCACTGATGACCTGCGTTCACATTCCACATTATTGTGGTAGCATTGTTCCACCAGTGCAATGCTGCTTTCTAAGAGGGAAAGCATACTACAAAGATGGAAAACTTAAAATACATTAAAATGTACTTTTTCATGAATAAAAGGGGACAGTTGGGTTTTAATAAGCCTGTAATTGTTTAATAACCACACCTTCATTAAAATCGATTCCAACATATTATTCTATTGTAATTCTTTAATATTGGTGTATATGGGGCAAAACTGTAATTTGATGTTAAAAATAGCTTTAAAAAATGAATTTAACACTACAATATTACAGCTGCTGTTTTTCTAAATAAAAACTAAATATATTATAAGAAAATAGCTGTACAGTGTATTATATTTAAAAGAAGAGCACACAGAAAATACTAGTTTGGGGATGTTTACTTAACCACATTGACTTTGTCATTGTATTTTGGTACATAATTTATTAAACCTTATTCAAACTAGTATAACCATCTATAATTATTTTAATGCCTTTAAGAATAAGGTCGGGTTTACCTTCATGTTAAAGATGATTACCTTTTAAAAAGTCACCGGGGTCACCTTTCCCTGGGGAGATTACAGCAAAAACGAATAAATAATAAACTTTTTAGAACAAATCTCTTTTTAGTACTTCATCAAAGGACAGAAATAAATACAAACTATATGTTGAAGAAGCAGACGTGGAAGTATTTAAAAAAAAAAATCACACGAGGAATAAAAAATTCCATTACTAAGATAATTCGCGGGGGGTGGGGAGGGGTTAGAATGTTGCGAAATATGAAATCTTCCAAACACCATTTCCTCTCGGTAGCGACAATATTTCTTGCAATTGAGGAAGTGAAACAAGTAAATCCCTAGTTTAACGGCGAAAGTTTGCGCCAGTTTCATTAGTTTATCCCTGAATGGGCAACATACAGCAGGCATATTACTTGTCTTTGTTACATGGGATGGAGCCGCTACTTACTCGGCAGTGAGGAAGATCCAGCTTTCGGATGAATTTCCCTTTGTACCTTCTCACCCTCGGGATCTCCCAGCCAACTTTCTTCGCATCATTCTGTGTGATCGCCTACGTACTGGCAGGAGGAAACGCGGTTGGTCAAGGCTGGACACGTCAAAAGGGTGACATGGTCACTAAAAGTTGCGAATGTCTGGAATTGGTAAAGTAATTTCGGATCGTAAAGCCTTGTTGGAGTATCTTGAAGAGGACAATCCTCTAGAATAAGTAAGTCGTGGAGTTGCGACGCCCCATGTTTGAGCAGACGGGGTGTAAAGTTAAACCAGAAATATTTTCTGACTAGCTAGTTATAATGACTAGACTAAAACTGCGTATTGCATATAGCTTATTCTAGCAGTGTTATACTTTTAATTTTAAATCTTACCGACCTACTGGCAGACTCGTTTTGCAACAACGGGGCATTGCTCAGCGAGAAACGGATATTATAGGTTTACGGATTTTGTGTTAATGTAACTGCACTGTTGCAAAGGCTAATTTAAAACGGCCAAGTTTGAACATGCATGTTAAATTTGGTTCTGTTACCGGATAAATTAGCTAATCAAGTTTTTTTTTTTTTTGCAAAATTTAAATGACAAGATGTGCAACCCATCTTTATATTATCTTACTTCTTATACTTGATGCAATGAATGAATTATTCAGTGGAAGATCTCCGCACAGCGTGAGAGCACCTTGTGTGATTTACGCCCCATTTTCATTTGCAAAATTTACAATACGCTTTTCCATTAAAAATGTGATGAATTTAAAATATGGTATATAGATTTCTATGTTCTAACGCGAAATGGGTAAATAGGTAGTTATAGTCTTCCAACTTTGCTAGCGAACAAAACTGGAGGCAGTTCAGGTAGTGGCCAAGTAAACATTTATCCCAAACTAGCTAGAGGAGTTACATGACACAGATTTGTGGTTGCTAACATTTACTTTAAAAGGATCATCACTGTGTATAGCCAACTACATGGAAAATCTACGGGAGTGACAATAATTACCTTGTCAATCCAGTACATAAATCCGTCGTCTCGAAACTTTCTATTTGCTTACACATGGTGTTACAATCACTTCACGAAAATTACGACACGAGCTTAAAAAAACTCGGTAATAAAAAGACGGGTTTACTTGTACAACTCGCCTTCAAAACGTTGTCCCTTATTTCCTCTTGAAATCGGTACATTTCCAAACCTGTGGAAATATTGGGAGTATAAAATCGCGTGGTATACATTTCGTTATATTTCATTCTATGTTTTGTAGAAGTGAAGATTAACTTCATCTGTATGATATTTGATTTTTTCTGTTTTGTTTTAGTTGTTTTCAGGATTTCAGGAGCGCCAAAACAAGTGATTGCAGTTGCGAATAAAGGATTTATAACACCGTCTTCGCAAATTTGCCTGAGCAGTGCGATCCCGGATGGCTGCATTTTTGGTTGGTTTTGTTGCGTTGCTTCAGATCGTGCCAGTAATCAGCGAATCATGCCTTATAATCAGCGAGGTAAACGCAGACAATCCCAAGCTGGACACCACTGAGTTTGTAGAGCTCTATCACACAAGTGGCAAGGCAGCCTCTTTAGATGGCTACACCTTGGTCTTCTATAATGGGAACGGAAATGTAGCTTACAAAGTGCTGAACCTTAGTGGCCACACTACAGATGCCAGGGGGTTCTTTCTTGTGGGCTCTGCTGAAGTCCAGCCCAAACCAGCAATCATACTGCCCCCTAATACAGTGCAGAATGGGCCAGACGCCATTGTGCTTTACCAGGGCAACACAGAGCGGTACAGCGAGAAGATGAATATAACAACCGTCGGTTTGATGGATGCTATTGTATACTCAACGCGGCAGTCAATGGATGCAGAGTTTATGGCGGACATCCTGACACCAGGATCTCCTGCTTTTATCGAGGATGATTCGGTACATAAGAGCGACGAGTCCATGGAGCGCTGCTGGCTGTCCTCTGGCAGCTGGACCTTTCAGGTGGGGCTACCATCACCTGGTCAGCACAACCAGTGCCACTCATCCAATGGCACCGCAGTGCAAATCAGCGAGCTCCGGCTGGGAGAAGGACAGACCGAAGGGTTTGTGGAGCTCAGTATCTCTAAACCAGCAGATCCCCTGGTCTTGGTACTCCTGGATGGAAGAACAGCCACTGTTACCTTCAGCATGGATATCAATGCCCCAAAGGAGGGCCTTCTTCTCATAACTTCAAAAGGAAGTGGACTGAAAGGTACGCTGACTAACCTGCGTAGAACCATGTAGCTGCATTGTCAAATGGTGTATGGTAGCAGATGATTGGTCACGTGACTGAAAGGATGTAAAGTGCTTCTGCTGTCAAGTATTACATCAGAATCAGGTTTTTTGCCAAGTATGTTCACACACACGTGGAATCCATCTTTGGTTGTCAGTGGTAACGTGAGAATAGTCACATACAGTTTGGTTGATATATAAAATGTGTAGCTGATAAATGTATAAAATGTGCAGGAATGCATGTCAGTGGAAGGAATTTTGGAGTAAATACAATATGTACAGAACAATGAAATAAAGAGTGAGTTATTTACATCATTGTTTTAATGGGGGAGGGTTACAGTGCAACTGAGCAGTAATGGGGGACTGTGGGGGTAACCGTGCAACTGAGGGGTAAAGGGGAACTGTGGGGGTAACAGTGTGACTGAGGGGCAATGGGGAACTGTGGGGTAACAGTGCAACTGAGGGGTAATGGGGAACTGTGGGGGTAACAGTGC